TGACTGCACCGGCAAAAAAATTAAGAATAAAATTTCTCTGGACATCCCTGCTAATGCATTCGCCTCAGTTGGTGGACTGAGACGTTGAAGGGGGGGGGGGCACACGGTTTTAAGCCAATTCTATTATCCACGGTGCCATTGAATGCAAAAGGAGAAATTTGGAAAAATTGGGCGCCTCTTTCAACAGTCCTTTGACTCATAAATAATTATCTTAAACAAATTTGCATCAAATAAATTAAAAAGTAAGGTTAAGCCTATTGCTACAATGTGACACAAAAGTCACTTGACAAATGTGAAAAAAACAATTTTGTCTAAAATCTTTGTTTTTACTTGGTAGGTGCGGCCTAAATACACTTAACAGAAACTCATACCAGCCATGCTGACACCAGAATAACGAGTTTGCTCTTTGCGCACTTTGCTCTCACGGTCCGTCAGAAACTGAATAGCATGTTTGGTAATCAGTGGATTGGACGGGTTGACACCAGGACGACGCAAGACGTTGTTCTGGTGTCAGCATGGTTGGTATGTGTTTCCGTTAAGCGTATTCAAGTCAGCACTTGCCAAGCAAAAACAAATATTTTAGGCAAAGTGGTTTTTTTCTCATTTGTCAAGTGACTTTTGTGTCACACTGTATAATGTGGTCCCTCGGAGTAAAGCATCATCAATGAAGCAATTATGCAATGGCGACTGTTGCATGCTTGTGTTCCAGAACGCGGGAACTATTTCGAAAATAAGTGGTGACTGAAGTATGAATTTCTTTCAAATTCGGTAAAAATTTCGCATTTGTCTTAGTTTAAATTACGCCGTAAAATTGGGCGTTCTAAAAAAAGGGAAACTGAGATAAACCATTCTTTCAGCTGCATTGAAAACAAGTTGGCACAATAAGAAAAAGAAATAAAATCATATCCTCATTTAAAAGACAAAAGGAAATAGATTCTGCAGCATAACCCTCGCATTTTATAACAGCTTTGTTAAACGGATATGCCAGGGACTCCTCCTACAAATTAAAAAAAAAAAACCGAGTGACGGGTCTCACTTGTCTGGGCAAATTTTTTCAGCCAGAACATCTTGTTCCGCCATGACCTCACTGGTCATTGCCAGGTTGACTGGTGTGATCGTAGACAGACTGGTGCACAACTTCCGAAATCCCCGTACTCCCATATCCCAATACAGCTTGGCGAAGCTGGTGACCTCTTTCGGCTTATTAGCGGAATATAGGCCGGAATTGTTAACTTGGAAGTAGTCCCGATAT